GGGGAGAAAATGGAAATTTCGAAATAATTTCTCAGCGAGGATGGGTAGGGAATTTGGAAGGACATTTTAGAGAGGACCCATAACTTGACTATTGAGACTGAAAAAAGACCTGCGAAGGACCTTCAGGAGTCTTCCATAGCCAGAAAAACATTCAGGGGTATTTTGACCAAAAAAGGACCTTTTGAGGTCTCCAACCCACAGAAGGTCCTCTTAAGAACTTTTATAGAAGAAATCATTTGATGCTATTGTGTAGAAAGACAATTGAGACAGAAAAAGACCTTCGAAGGACCTTCAGGGGTCTTCCATAACCAGAATAACATTCAGGAGTATTTTGACCCAAAAATTACCTTTTGAGATGTTCTACCAACAGAGAGACCTCTAAAGGACTTTTATAGAAAAAAAATCATTTGATGCTATTGTGTAGAAAGTCCATAGAGACAGAAAAAGACCTTCGAAGGACCGTCAGGAGTCTTCCATAGCCAGAAAAAAACATTCAAGGGTATTTTGACAAAAAAATCACATTTTGAGGTCTCCAACCTACAGAAGGTCCTCTAAAGGACTTTTATAGAAAAAAATTTAATTTGATGCTATTGTGTAGAAAGACAATTGAGACAGAAAAAGACCTTCGAAGGACCTTCAGGGGTCTTCCAACACCAGAATACCATTCAGGAGTATTTTGACCAAAAAAGCACCAACCCACAGACGATCCTCCAAAGGACTTTTATAAAAAGAAAGCCATTTGAAGTTATTGTGTAGAAATAATGTGATTTAAAGCTCTTCGGCGGACAAAAGCCTAATGCAGGGTCTTCTGTAAACAAAGTCATTCGAAGAACTTCTATGATCTGACGGTATTTTAAAGGATATCTTCAGGAGTCTTCCACAGGCAGAAAAACATTCAAGGGTATTTTGACCAAAAAAAGCCATTTTGAGGTCTTTTACCCACAGAAGGGTAGAAGAAGGTGCTTTAATGAAAGAAACTTCTTTCTTTACAAAAGACCCTGCATAAGGCTTTTCTCCACCGAAGAGCTTTAAAGCACCTTCTTCCTTTACAATAACTTCTGTGGGTAGCAGACCTCAAAAGGTCATTTTTTGTCAAAATACCCTTGAATGTTTTTCTGGCTATTGAAGACTCCTGAAGGTCCTTCGAAGAACTTCTATGTTTGAAGAACTTTTATGAACTGGTGGTATTTTAAAGGATATCTATATACAGAAGGACCTGTAGATATCTGTTGAAGGACTTATGAGGGCAGAAGGTCCGGTTTCTTCAGGCAAACTACACTTAAAGGATATTCTACCGAAAGAAGAGACGTCAAAGGATTTTTTTATGGAAGAAGCCTATTTTATGTTCTATAGACACAAGGCCCATTGAAGGACTACTATTGACAGAGAACCATTGAAAAGTTCATATCTAAACGAAAAGTCCTTGAAAGAAGGACCTTTGCGTGACTTCTATAAACTGAAGTCCACTTAAAGGACTTCTATAGACATAATGACCTTTAAGTGTCCTCAATTGGCTGAAGACTATTTAAAGTTCCTCTATGGACAAAAAGTCCTTAAAGGATCTTCTATAAAAATATACAATTTTAAAGGACTTCTGTGGATGGAATGTTCATTAACGGACTCCTATAGACAGAAGGTCCGTCCAAGGCCATTTAAAGGGTGTTCTGTAAGCAAAAAGTCCTTTAACCTTTTCTATGAGCAGAAGTCCCCTTAAAGGATGTTCAAAATATACAATTTTAAAGGACTTTTGTGTATGGAAGGTCCATTAATGGGCTCCTATAGACTAAAGGTCCCTCCAAGGTCATTTTAAAGGTGTTCTGTAAGCAAAAGAACCTTTTAACGTTTCCTATGTGCATAGGGCTCCTTATAGGATCTTCTAAAGAAAACTGTCAACTTGAAAAACTTCTATGGACAGAAGGTCCTTTAAATGTATTCTATAAACAAAAGACTCATTAAAGGACTTATATTTGCAGAGAGGCAGTTAAAGGTCTTCTATAAACCAAATGTCCTTGACTAGTATTTTTTTAGAAAGAAGAACCTTTGAAGGACTCTTGGAAACAGAAGACCCACTGAAGGGCTTCCATGGACACAGGTTCATTTAAAGGACAAATATAGACAAAAGGCACTCGAAGGACCTTCTATAGGAAGACATCCGTTAAGAGGACCTTTTCGAGCGGAAAGAATAAGTGGAAGCTTCTTCCTAGGTCCATTAAAGGCGTACTTTGCGCAGAAGGTCCTTTCAAGATATTCTAAAGGTCTTTCTAAGGACTTCTATCAACAGAAGATCATAATAATAACTTCTATGGACAGAAGGTCCTTCTATGATATTTTATTGACAGATGACGCATTAAAGGACTACTATTGGCAGATGGGCCTTTGAAGTTTTTCTACGCCCAAAAAAAATCCTCGAAAGGTATTTTTTATAAAGCAGTACCTTTGAAGGACTGCTAAAGACGGAAGGCTTGTTGCAAGACAAAAGGCCCTTGAAGGGTCTTCTTTGGAAAGACATACGATTAAAAAACATTTACGAACGAAAACAACCTTAAGGAACACCTTCAGGTAAAGGACCTCAATTGGTCCCTTGAAGGTGTTTTAAAAGTAGAAAAATCCTTGCAAGGTATTTTATAGCTGAAGGTCCTTTTAAGGACTCTATAAACTGAATGTAATTAGACATTGGAAAGCCCCTTTACAAACTGAAGACTATTTAACGAAAGAGAACCCCTCGGGAGATCTATTCAGTTCAGGTTCTTCAAGTGGTTTTAAATGGGAAAAGACCCACAAATTCATTCCTACGGACAGAATACCTTCAACGTTCTCCTATGGACAGAAGATTCTTCAACCGACTGCTATAGCCAGAAGGTCTGTTTAATGTCCCTTGGGAGGCAAAAATGTCATTTGAAAGGCCTTGAAACACCTTTTGTAGAAAGGCATCCGTTTAAATGACTTTTACAAAGGAAGGACCCTTAAAGAACTTCCATAGGGAGAAGGGCCTTTCTATATCCTTTAAAGGTGTTGTATGAACAAAAAATCCTTTGGAGGTATTTTATGAGCTGAAGGTCCTTTTAACAAGTCTATTTACAGAAGACAATTGAAAAACGTCTATGAACGGAAGGCCCTTTAAACGCCATTAGTAGATTAAAGATCCTTCAAGCGTTCTCTACAAATCAAAGTCTGAGATTAAGATATCTATGGAGAAAAGGTCCTTAAAGGGTCTTTAATAGGGGAAACCCCATCAAATCTTTCCTACGGTCAGAATGCCTTTACCGTTCCCCTATGCACAGAAGGTCCTTAAACCGACTGCTGTAGTCGGATCCTTGAAGAGTTTTTAATAAGGGAAACCCTATCAAATCTCGATGGGCAGAATCCCTTCAACGTTGCCTTATGGACAGAAAGGACTTTTACGGACGAAAGGACTCTCAAAGAACTCCCAAAGGTATAAGACCCCTTCAGAAGGTCCTTAAACGGTCTTTAAGGGAAAAAGGCCCATCAATGCTCTCCTACGGAGAGAATCCCTTTAACCTTCTCCTATGGACAGAAGACCCTTTATCAGACTCTCATAGTCAGACGGCTTATTTAAGGTCCCTTGGAAGGCAAAAGGGTATTTGAAAGGTCCTTGAAGGACCTTCTATAGCAAATCATCCGTTTAAAAGGCTTTTACGAACGGAAGGACCCTTAAGGAACATTCATAGGCAGAAGAATCATATTAGGTCATTCACATGTGTTCTATAAGTCGGAAAACCTTTAAAGGTAATCTGTAGCTGAAGGTCCCTTTAAGGACTCATAAACATAAAATCATTAAAAAGTCTTGGAACAGAAGGTCCATTAAAGGCCCTTAGCAGATCAAAGATCATCCATTTAACAAAAGTGGACCTCGTGAGGGATCTGTCGAGAGAAGATACTCTAAATGTCTTGAATAAAGAAAATATCCATAAATTCTCCCCCTCCTATGGACAGAAAGTCCTTCAACCTGCTTCTAATGTCAAATGGCCTCTTAAAATCCCTTGGATGGCAAAAGGCATATTTGAAGGGTCATACGTCTTTTGAAGGCCACTGGAAGATTATCTGTCTATAGAATACCTCTTTGAGCTCCTCTGTCTACAGAACACCTCTGAAAGGTATTTTGTCTATAAAGGTTCTCCGAGAGCGATCCTCTATAGGCATTCTCCCTGAATAAGGCACTTAAATGGTATTCTCTTTGAAGAAGATGTTAAAATGACCATCTCTCTGTAGAAAACATTCAAGGGACCTTGTCCTTCCCAAAAGAACCAGAACAATGTCTTTATAAAAGACTTTCAAAGATCTTCTCTTTGTGAACTCCCAAATGTATAAGACCCCTTGAGAAGATCCTTAAACGATCTTTAAGAGAAAAAGGCCCATCAATTCTCTCCTATGGAGAGAATCCCTTAAACCTTCTCCTATGGACAAAAGACCCTGTATTAGTCATAGTCAGACGGCTGCCTTCTGCCTTGGAATTTGAAAGGGGTATTTGAAAGGGGTATTTGAAAGGTCCTTGAGGGACCTTCTATAGCATCAGTCTAATAGGCTTTTACGAGCGGAAGGAACCTTAAGGAATTTTCATAGCCAAAAGAATTATATTCTATAAATCGAAAATCCTTTAAAGGTAATCTGTAGCTGAAGGTCTCTTAAGGTCCTTCCTCTAAGGATAACCTTTAAAGGATCTTTTCTCTATAGAAGAAGATCTCCTAAGGAACGTCCCCTTTTAGAAAACCCTTAAATATTTATAGAAAAATCTTCCCTTTCCATTGAAAGCCTCAAAAAGCTCCTCTGCCATAAAAATACTCCATTTCCCATTCTTCTCTTTCTGGGAATCCTCGCGTTTAAATTACTTAAAAATTATCTACCCCCGACAACTGGGCGTAATACACAAATAATTACTGCAGCTCGGCAACTAAATAACTTTCCTCAAACATGTGGCACCTTTTCATTACAAAACAATAACAGCAGCAGCAACAACAACAACAACACAATATGTAACTTACCTTCGCACATTTGCTATATCGCCACGTTCCACAGCCAGGAGGAATTTCTTCTCTTCCATTTCCAATGGTTGTGGTAAACCGATTGGCAGACAACCATGTTTGAGGGTTTCGGTGGAGCCGGCACCAACGGTGTGTGAGGCCACCTGTTTCCGGTATTGTAAGTAAACACAGAAAGGACAGCCAGCAAGGATATCACCAGCCACCAGTCAGGATATCCCACGAAAAGCCAATGTAATAAGATATGGCCAGAAATTGTGGGAGAAGGCAAGAAGAGACATGAAAAAAAGACAGAAAGAAAAGGAAGTGTGAGAAAATAAAGTCGCTTAAATAAGATCACACACACACACCTCATAAAAAATTTACATATGTATGTGTGTATGTATTTATGCAAAATATTTAATGTGTCAGTTACTTGGTATTCATTCTCTACCACTTTACCTTTTGCTTAAGAGCAACTACCTGGGGTATTTTATTGTAAAAAGCTATCTTCTGAGTGGGCTTGAGCCTGAGCATGTTCATCACGAGGCGAAATGAAATGAAAGAAAGCCGAAAAATCGTAAAGCACAAGCAAGTGTTAAACTTATTTCGCAAAGTGATGCTGTCAGAGAATTCAATGAGATTTTTATTTGAATATTTTTTTTTCTGAGAAAGGGCGGAGGAGTGCAGTGGCCAGGAAGGAGAGAGGGGATGAAATAAATAAATGAAAATTATTAAAAAAATATAAAATCATAACATTACAGGGAAATTATATGTCTTAAAAATATCATTTATTTCAAACGAATTTCAATTTTTGTTTAATTTTACGAACGATGGTCCCTTAAAAATGTTTTTAAAAATTCCAACATTTGGAATCAGACTATACTTTAAAAATATTCTTTAAAATTACACGATGTTCCGTTAAAAGGACTTTAGAAATAATTTAATAAGAATGTCCTTTCAGATAAATCTTATTTTCTCTTAAAAATATCATCTTTAAAGTTTAAAACTCCACAATTTTTGGTCCAGACGGCCACGTGGACCATTTTTAATCTACGATTTTCCATCGAATGGTCCTTCTTAAAAAACACACAATTTTAACTACAGATTTCCTATCACGTGTTGAAAACTTTTTCTTTAGAGGACCTCACAAAAAAATTATAAGGACTTTTCATTCTAAAGTCCAGATGTTCTTGAAAATATCCTTCAAAATTTACTTTAAAAAAAATTACAATAACACAACAATTTTTGGTCAAAAAAAGTTTTCAGAAGGTCCCTCGAAAAATTTCTTAAAAAATCCATGATTTTTGCTACAGACGTCTTTCCACTACGTTTCAGATAAATCCTACATTAAACATTACTCTCATTTGAAAATTTCAACTTTTCAACATTTTTTATTATCTATGGTAGATTTTTTTTCAAATTTCACAATTTTTGGTCCAGATGTCCTTTAAATATTTTTTTCAATCTATGATTTTCCAAAGGAACATCCTTCCTAAAAAATCAAGATTTTTGACCAAGACATAGTAGAAGAAAATCTCCTAAAGCCCTCCAAACAATGAAGGAAGTTGTCAAGATTTATATATTTCAAAAAGTTTCAAAAACGCTCAAAAGAATATCGTTGAAAAAATTTGAAATAACTCTATAATTTTTGGTGCAAAAATATGTTTTAAAAACTTCCCAGAAGGGTCCAGAGAAGGTCCTTCCGAAAAGTTTTCTTACAAACTCCACAATTTTTGGTCTTTTAAAATATTAAAAAAAAAAAAAAAACAAATTTTTCGTCAGTTTGTGTTTTAATAGAAAAATATCTCATTTGGTCCAAACATCATTCACAAAAAAAAAAATAAATAAATAAAAAAATTCCAAATATTTTTCATAAGAATCTACTTAAAAAATATAAAAGATTTTTGGTTCAGACTTCCTTCAATATATTCTTAAAAATATCCAAAATTATTTATCAAAAGGCTCTGGAAAAATTTTCTCAAGAATACAATTTTCTTAAAAATTCAAAATTCAAAAATTCAACAAATTATTAAAAAAAAAAAAAGCCAAGATTTTTCGTCAGAAGTTCTATTATTAAATGTCTTTAGAAATCCGAATTTTTGGTAGTGTTTTTTGTGTGTATTTATTATTTTTTTTTGGGTCGTTCAACATATTTTTCAAAATAAAAAAAAAACAAAAATTTTCATAAGAATGTGCATCTTAAATCTTAAAAAACACATTTTTTTTTTTGGTCCAGGTGTCCTACCAAAAATTTCCTGAGGAGGTCCTACGAAAAATTTTCTGTTGCGGATTTTATCTTTTTTTTTAAATATTTTGAAAAAATCTAATTTTTTAATGAAAATGTGCTTCAAAAGAGAAATAAAAGTATTATTTTTGGTCCAAAGGTCCATGTCAGAAAAGCCCCGAGATCCTTCAAAAAATGTCTTATAAAGCTCACAACTTTTGGTCCGGATGTCCTTAAAATTGTTTTTAAAAAATAGTCCAACATTTTTCATAAGAATGTGCTTCAAGAGAAAAAATATTATTTTTAATCCAAATGTCCTTCACAAAAAAGTTCGTACATTTTACTTGAGAAGGTCTCTCGAAAAATGTCTTTTAAAATACAAGATGTTTGCTACAGACGTCCAAAAATGTTAATCCGAATTTGTATCTATTTTAATCTTAAAAAGCTCAAGGGTTTTTGGTCCAGGCGTCCTTCACAACTATTCTTCAAAAATTTCAACAGTTTTCATCAGAAGGTCCTTCGAAAATTGTTCTTGCCAACTCTAAAATTCTTAATCTGGATGACCTTTAAAATATGTTTAAAAAAGTCCAAAAATTTGTATAAGAATGTGCTTCAATAGAGAATTGAAATTATTATTTTTAATATATCCTTCACAAAAACCATCCAAAAATTTCGGAGAAAATTTTGCTCAGAATCAGATTCCACTTTCAAAAAATTGTTTTATTCAAAAGGCCTTCAATATATCCTTCAAAAAAAAAATTGTTGAATTATCTGAAAAAAAAAAAAAAAAACAAATCCTAAAAAATGTCTCTAATAATTTCATTCAAAAATTCTTCAAAGAGCTTTTGGTCCGAATATCCCTCAAAATATTCATTAAAAAATTACAACATTTTTTGTCAGAATGTATCCAGAAAAAAAATTTTTAGAGATCCAAGATTTTCGGTTCTCAAAATATTCATCAAAAAATGTCTAAATATTTTATCAGAAGGTTATATTGAAATCTTCAAAATATTCAGACCCCACGTCCAACAAAATATTCTTAAAAAAATATCCAAGATTTTTGATCCAGATATCCTTGGAAATATTCCAAAAGTTTTTTTTTAGAATGCTCTTCAAAATTTCCAAGATTTTCGGATCTGAAAATATTCTTCAAAAAAGGTTTTCTCAAAAGCTCCATAATTTTCGATCCACAGGTCCATAGAAATAATGTTAAAAATAATCTAAGGCTCTCTTAATAATGTGCTTGAATGGCATTCTTAAGAAATCCGAGATTTTTTCTTCAAGCGTTCTTTAAAATATTATACAAAATTATTTAAGAGCCTTTTAAGAAGATCCTCCAAATGTTTTCTTAAAATTCTAACATTTTTTGTCCAGATGTCCTTCAAAAAATTCCAAAATTCCAAATTTTCCAAAATCTCCCAAGTCTCTTCAGAAAAAAAAAAAATCCAAAAATTATGATTCCCTTCCAAATTTTGCCCTACCCGAATCACTGTCCCTCAGATAAATCTTTCATTAAGTATTTTCCCACACTTTCTTCATTAAAACGGGCACATTAATAAGCATTTTAACAAACAGTTATCAGATACTTATCCTCTTTCCTCTCCCTCTTCCACTTCCTCTCCATAACTCCCCACACCCTGCATCATCATCTTCATCATTTATGCAATGGCATTCATTTAACCCAACAACGAGTCATGAAAATATAAGCAGCACTTTAAGATGAATAAGAACAAGGAAACCTACATCTTAAATCCGATTTAAATAAAAAAGAAAAAAAAAAAAACAGAGAAAAAATATTTTCAAGAAAAAACCCAGCTCGCCCCTTATGAGAAGAACACATAAAATTCCGATAGATGGAAAATGAAGAAGAGGAACCAGAAGAAAAGGCACAAACACTTTTTTCCTCTTTTTTTAACTTTAGGACTTCGTTAACATAAATCCACTCAACTGAGGTACCCTCTTCTCAGTCGCCTCCTCTCTCTCTCCCTCTCTCTCTCCCTCTCTCTCTCTCTAAATTGAGATAATGTTATTTATGTTGTGAGTGGTGATAAACAATCATATGTAAATCACTTATCTGTCTGTCTGTTTGTATGTCAGTCATTCAGTCGGTGAATTCGTTTAGCTAAGTAGCTGTCGGTCTGTCTGTCTGCAGAGATGTCTAGAAATAAAACGGAGCTGAATGAAGGTAATTAAATTTGAAGAAATGTGAATTTGATTTGTAATGAAATGTTAGATAAAAATTCGTTACCGGAAAAAATAGAGGAGGAATTTGCATGGAAAACAGCAAATCACGATAAGGCATAGCATAAATGTGGGTGGAAATTTGACATAAAAATTTAAGCATGGCTCGTGACGTTTGAAATTAAATTATTTAATAATTATTTATGTTAAAAAAAATCATGGAAATAAGTCCTTTAAAAATCCACTCAAGGAATTAAAAACTGTTAAGTATAAAGTCAAAAAATAATATCTTAAAAATTCAAGATTAATCGACAAGATGTCCTTGTCTTGGCCAGAAAATGTTTTAAATATTCTGCCTGTTTTGCTCAAAATTTCGCTAAAATATGAAAAAAACACGATTTTTGGTCGAAATGACTTCAATATATTCTTCAAAAAAATGGCAGATTCCTGTCCTTGACCAGAAAATGTTTTAAATATTATTTTTGTTTTGCTCAAACTTTGGCTAAAATATGAAAAAACCGACAATTTTTGGCCCAAATGCCTTCAAAATATTCTTCAAAAATTTGCCAGATTTTTCATCAGAATGTGTGTTCCAATTCCATTCCTATTCGGGACATCCTTCCATGTTTTTAATTCATTAGTTGTTTTTTTTTTATTTATTTTTTTTTTCTATTTACTTTTTTTTTGGTAATTCATGCTTTCTGTTAAATATATCCGTCGAAAAATTATTTTTTTGGCCACTTATCCTCCAAGAAAAACTTTAAAAAAATTTTGAATCTAGGTTCCGACGTTCTCCAAAATATTCTCATAAAAACTCTATGATGTTTCATCAAAGGATTATTCATTCAATTCCATTCCTATTCAGGATATCCTGCCTTGTTTTTAATTCGCTTTTTTATTTATTTATTGTTTTTTTTTGGCAATTCTGTCAAATATATCCGTCGAAAAATTGATTTCCTTTGGCCATTTATCCTCGAAGAAAAACTCTAAAAATTTTTTGAATCTTGGTTCCGGCGTTCTTCAAAATTTTCTCAAAAAACTCTACGATGTTTCATCAAAGAATTATTCATTTAATTCCATTCCTATTTAGGATATCCTTCCATGTTTTTAATTCGCTATTTTTTTATTTTTATTTATTTTTTTTTTTGGCATTTCATGATTTTGTTAAATATATCCGTCGAAAAATTAATTTCTTTTGGCCATCTATCCACCAAAAAAAACTCTAAAAAATTTTTGATTTTGGTTCCGACATTCTTCAAAATATTCTCAAAAAAAGTCTACGATGCTTCATCAAAGGAATATTCAAAACATTTTCTTAAAAAAAATCATAGGTTGTTGATACGAAGGTCCTTAAAGATATTCTCTAAAAAAAATCAATAATTCCACGAAAGTCACTTTTCAAAATATTTTTCCAAAATCAACATTTTCTGGTCCGAAAGAACTTCAAAGTATTTTGTTAAGTTATATTGGATGCTTTATTGGAAGGTCTTTCTAAAAAAAAATCAGGAGAATAGTCTCATTTTTTCCTAAGAATTTTAGATTTTTCTCCATGATATTCTTTATATTTTCATACAATTTAAAAAAATTCACGATTTTTGCCAGAACTAAAAAAAATCCCAGAATTTTCTTCAGGATAATCTTTACAACACTGTTTTTTGGTCGGATGTCCTGGAAACCATTTTCCTAAAAATTCTTGATTTTGGACTTGGACCTCTGAAATTCCAAGATTTTTCATTAGGATGATTTTTTTACGGAGACATTCCCTTCCTTTTAAATAGAAAATATAATCAATAAAGAAAAGTTCTCCAATTTTTCATTAAGATATTCTTCACGAATTTTTATAAGATATCATCTTAATAAATTTCTTAAAAAATACTAAAATTTCTTCATTAGAATATCCTTCCGAAATATTTCTTATTTTTTCATATCCATGATTTTTCGATTGGATGTCCTTAATTATACCTTCAGCCACATAGCTAGTTATACCCCCAGCCATATGGCTAGAGGAGGTATATATCATTTGATAGGGCCATAACGTGCCTCATCGAAATAACGGTTTTAGATCTAGGTCTCTTTGAAATAAATCCGTTCCAAGACATTTGGAATCGATTTATCGATTTCCATTCGTGTGTCTGTCTGGCTGGATGGTCGAAGAGACTATCCAATTTGGTCAAAACTTGGCACATCGTAATACTATTGTCAAACATAGATCTAGTTCGGAGATGGGCAATATCGTCAACATTTTCAGAAAGAAAATATTTTATTGCGCAAAAAGGAAAAGGATAAGTCGATTTTGCTCCAACTTTGCAAAACCTAATATTTCCATCAGTGCTAGGTTAGGGGCGAAAATGGACAATATCGGTCGACTCTTTGTGGTACCTCCTACACAAAGGATCAACATTTTGAATAATTATAATTCTTATAAAATGTTATTTAATTGTCCGATTGTCTTCAAATTACACACAACACAATATTTTTATCAACCCAAGGTCTGGTGTGAAGATGGGATATTATGATCCACTCCTTCTCGAACCTCCCCCACAATGAGTCAACATTTTGAACATCAATGGAGCTTATGAAACCCGAAATTAATATCCGATTCCATTCAGATTTGGTACATCTCAACATTTTCATCAATACAAGATTTGTTATAAAGATGGTAGAGAACGGAGCATTTCATCTGGTACCTCCCCCACAAAGGGTCATATTTTTAAAATCCACGAAGGTAATAAATCACAAAATCAAGATCTGATTCCAATCAGATGCAGCTCAGAAATACATTTGCTAAATTTTATCGAGATCGGTTCCGATTAGGATATAGCTCCCATATATAACTTCGTCCGATTTACATTTTATTGTGCACCAAACTTTTAATATTTGTCCAAATGGGATGGAATTTGGCACTTATGACCGAATTAAGTGTAGAAGCTGGTATGTCAAATTTGGTGAAGATCGGTTCAGATATAGCAATAGCTCCCATATATACTGTTCATCCGATTTGTTATATTTGTTACCCACAGCCGTAATATGCACTCCGTAACAACGATATTCAGGGAAATATATAGCTCAGAAATATCTTTGCCAAATTTTATCGAGATCGGTTCAGATTTGGATATAGCACCCATATATTTTGCACCAAATGGACAATACAATTCCGAATTTAAATGATACAAATGCTTCGGCATATTTAGTCCTTTGAACTTTAAATTATAATTATAATCATAGCGTGTATGATTGAATTCTCCCATAAAAACTTTTAATTGTCATGCGGAGCTCTACTAAATTAGCAAAGTGGTGTAGGGTATCATAAAGTCGACCCCGACCGACTTTAGGACTTTCTTTACTGGTTTCTTATTTACTTATAGTTTTTTCTTTTTTTTTTTTTTTTTTTTTTTGGAAAATTTCCAAATTCTTTCCAAATGGCGGAGGGTATACAAAGTTCGGCACGGCCGATCTTTCTACTTTTTTAATTGTTATTTTTATATTTATTCTTTATTTATTGTTTTGACACCCATTATCTTATGAGATAATTACCCTCAAGCCCTAATTAAACTATGACTTTTCATTCAAATCCTGCAAATTCCCCGAATGCATTTCAAACATTGTATGACAGCCATTTGTTTTTTGCTCCTCCATATCCTTTATCCAATTATTTTAGTTATTTTTCCAGTTGATTGATTTGTTTTAATGAATTAAAAATTAAGAGCTGTTTAAATGGTCAGTGATATGTGTGTGTGCGAGTGTGTGTGTGTGTGGGAGAGATTACAAAATTGCATATTTTCGAATAATTTAATTTGTAATTAAATTAAATAATTTCGAAACTAAGAGGGCAGTTGGGCACTTGAAAGGGAAAATAATTAATTGTTGGTGAACTAAGGGTGTGGGAAGAGCTGGGGTGCGTATGAGTGCTGTTGAGCACGCATACGCCCCCCTAAGGGCTTGTTAACTTTCAGTTTTAAATTTAAATTGCTACAGGGGTTCTATTTGTTTTGCAACTTTTGCAACATTCCATAAATCATAAACTGGCTACGATGAGGACAACAGAAAAAAAATTTGAAATCGAGAAAAATACCAGGAAAAATACCGTTTAAAATTCTACTACAAAACTATGTGAAAAACTCATTGAAGTTTTTCATGATTTTTTTTTTTTTTTTGCTACTTCAAACTTACAAAACCAAAACTTTATTTACAACAAAAAAATTTAATTTTTTTTATTTACAACAATAAAATATTTTTACATGTTTTGGTTTTTGTTTCTCTTCTTTTTTTATTTTTATTTTGGTTTGGCATTACTTACACCTTTTTGATCTTTACGGTTTAGTAGAACCATTTTGTTTGGAGTTTTTGGTGGACTTAGAATTTCATGGAAATTTCGATGTTGTTGTTGTTGTGGAAAAATGTCACAGAAGTTTGCTCGAGTTGCCAGTTATGATGGTTGTCGGGTTTGGCAGATTAAAAACTTTGTTTTGAAACCCAAAAAATAAACAGGACTCGCATTTGGTCATCCGTCCATTTGGCATCGAGGCAAACGGAAGTCTGCTTTTTTCGGTTTTTTTTTTTTCAATTCCACAAACCCATAAAAAAATCCGCAGTTAAACGTCACCTGGCATCTGATGTTCGACAGACTGTTAGGATTTTTTTCTCAGATGTCTGTGTTGCAAAATCCGCTGTTTTTTTTTGGCAACAATGTTTTGTCTGTTTTGTAGCCAAAATAAAACTCACATTTGAAAACTTTGTTTTACTATTTTCCAAGTGGCACTTTCATTTGGTTTTCATGACACTTTTTTATGACGAGAATTTTTTTGTGGAAAATGTAAATTTTACAGCACCAAATTGTTTTGAAATTTTTATTTTACAGACTTTCTAGTCTTCTTTATAGATTTAATATGAATATTAATATTAATTTAAATTATGAACTTTTAGATTTGAATGAGAAATATTTATTGGAGTTGTGACAATGCTTATGTAGTTCCATAGAATTCGGGTGTTCTTTATGAAAACCCTGCGTATGAGTGATATGAAATATATGACACTCATCAAATCACTCATACGTTTAGGAAGTGATGTACTGAACTAGATTGACACAACTCTTTTAAGTACTAATTAAACATGAGTTTGTTACATGTGGCGTATGATTAATGACTGGCGAAATGTTGCTCATACGCAGAGATGGTGTATATTTTCTTTAAGCAAAGGGTAATGAAAATATACTTTGAGGACTTCTTTTCGGTAACAGTATTCGAACAGTCATTATTTCCATAGAAAAAAAATGGAAACCCTCCACTTTCTATAGAAAAGAGGACCTTTAAATATATTTTTATACGAAAAAGATGCCAATGGTTCCTTCAATTTTTTTCTCAAAAAAAAGAAAATGACCCCGGGGATGCTTTCAATTGCTTTCTCAAGAAAAAAGGAAGTCAAATTTATTTCTAAGAAAAAAAGGCTCCAAGGCTATTTTTCCGCAGAATAAATGGTCCCAAGGTGAGATAGGAGCCACGAGACCCTTCTGTTTGCAGGAAAGATTGGCTTCCAGAGGCACTTCATTTATTTATTTATTTATTTATTTATTTTTTTTTTTTTTTTTGTTAATTGCCCAAGCCAACATAGAGCCTGGTTTTCTTGGAAAAAAAATAAAAAATATTAGAGTCGTATTTTTTTTAAACAAAATCAAGGTCCTTTTTCAAGAGAAAACATTTGGAAAACCTGTTTCCAGCAGGAAAAAACTTAGTGAGACCCCTTAGGCTCAAGAAAACATCGAAGTAACACATGAAACCTATTTTTCTATAACTAAGACATCGTAAGAGGCCTTTTTTCTATTTTTATATATTTTTTTATTTTTAAGAAAAAAACTCAAAAGGCCTAATTCTGAGGCCTATTTTTCTATAGAAACAAATTCCAGAGGCCTTTTTCTTTGGTTTTTTTTTTCCCTTTCAAGACTTTAATTTGCTACAGAAAACAATTGTTTTCTATAGGACAAAACAGCACATTAGATATACTCCCAAAGCCAACTTGGAGCCCCTTTAATGGAAAAATGGGGTAATTTCTTCCTTCATAAAATATCAAAGGTCCCCTAAAGAATTTTTCATCCATAAAACATTTGAAAATATAGACACACATATAAAGAAAAAATAATAAATCCTCTTGAGACCCCTTAGGGCCTAGAACACACGAGACCTACATTTCTATAAATAAAGCATCGTAAGGTCTGAAAAACGTCTTTTTTCTACTTTATTCGTCTAAGGAAAAATTCAAAAGCGGTCCTCCTGGGGTCTATTTTACTATTGAAGCAAATTCCAGAGACCTATTCCTGCGGAGTTCTTTCTCTTTCTGCAGAAAAAAAATCGAGAGGCCTCCGAGTGGTCTTTTTTACTTAAGAAAAAAATCGTAAGGACCCTGTAAGTTCTTTTTCTAAAGGAAAAAAATCAGAGGGTTATTTTTCTATTGAAAAAAACGAGAGTTCTTCGGAGGACATATCTTATATAGAAAAAATCTAGAGGCCTCTGGTCTTTTTTCGAAAGCCTTTGGGAGACTTTTATATAGAAAAAAATCTGGAGGCCCCTGGAAGGCCATTTTTATGGTAATAATCAAGAGGCCTCTGTATTGAAATTTTTTATATTCAAAAAATCAAGGACCTCTGCGAAGTCTTTTTATTTTCTATAGAAAAAAATCAAAAGGCCTCTGTTGGAGGTGTTTTTTCTTGGAGGACATTTTTTCTGCTATAGAAAAAATCGCTAGACCTCAGAGAGGTCTTCTTTCTAAAGAAAAAATCGGAAGACCTCAGAGAGTTCTTTTTCTCTATAGAAACAAACCACAAGACCTCGGAGAGGTTTTTTTTCTGTAGAAAAAATACCTAATTTCACCCAATACCCAACTTAGTACTATTTTTAGTACTTTTCGCACACATATTATACACATTTCAAAAACCATCTACATATCTTAACAGCAGATACCAACAGTGACATTTATCAAATTTCAACATTACAGACCTATTCCTTCAGCCAATACCAAATTTAGTACTATTTAGTGATTTTCGTACAAAATAGTACAGTTTCCCGGAACCCCCTCCATTTACCCGGCTACACATGAAGAGCGACCCTTATACCAAATTTCAGATTTCAAGCACTTTATACTCACCCAATATCAAATTGTACCAAATATAGTACTGATTAGTACTTTTCATGCACTTTAGGTACCCATTTGTCAAAACCACATCTTTATTGTAAATTCATCACCAACAGGGACCCCAATACAAAATTTCGAAATTCCAGCTTCATCCGTTCACCCCAAAACCAAACTGTTACAAATTTAGTACCATTTAGTACAATTGCCACACTTAGTGCATATTTCCAAAACCATCTTCAAATACCAAATTTACATTCCAATCCTGATTCTCATACCAAATGTCAAGTCTCAGCTCTAGCCATTCACATAATACCAAATGGTACCATTTCTGGAAATTTTGTACCATTTTAGAACTTTTGGTAACCTGAAGGTTCATATTTTCAAAAACCTTTGGTACATCTATCCTGTACTCCATCAGTGACTCTCATTCCAAATTTGAGAATTCCAACTCATCCCGTTTGTCCAGAACAAATTAATAAGTTTTTAGTACATTTTATTACTATTCGTACCATTTTAGTACTAATTTCCAAAACCCCAGCCTTGTCACAGGCCTAGGCATAAAGACTGGTCCTCGTGCAAATTTTCAAAATTTTGGCTTCAGCCGTTTCATCTGGGCATTGATTCTCAGTCAGTCAGTTATTTCACTACTCTTTCACTGATGTATTGGCAAAATCGACTGGTGATATTTAACTAGTTTCTAAAGAAAAAAATCGTGAGGCCCCGGGGGTATATTTTTTCTGGGAAAAACAAATTGGCCTCTTGAGTTATTTTTTTATTAAAAAAAATTGTATTTATTTTCTTAATATTCCTGTGGCGTATGAGTTATGCACCATCAAATATAGCTCATACGCACTATGTGACATTCTTTAAACTGGGATTTACGCAGACATTTTTTGAACTCAATATTTTTATAGTATTTTCAATTAATAATTTTTTTTATTTCATTTTTTTTTTTTTCATTTATATATTTTTCACTATATTCCACAGTTTTGCATTAAAAATTTTTTTATTTATTTTTTTTTTACTTTTTTTCACCACAAATTTCATTGGCTGCTGTCTTTTAGCTTCCGTTGTTAGCGCTTATAAATCCCCACGAAAACTGTTCGACATACACACAAAACAACAAGTTGGCATGGATGATCGTAACACTCAGCTGGATATGGAGCCAAATAATTTTAAAATTGAAATGTATGAAAGAAAAACACAATCAATTATATTTTGGAAATTTCAAGTTTTCTTTTTTTTTTTAATTGCAAAATCAGATCAAGAAAAATACGGCAAAGCAAAAAAAAAAAGAGACTGAATATTTCATGTTCCATTGGGCCTCGTGAAATAATATTTTTAAATTTTTAATATTTGCTCTTCGCACACTTAAGAAGCCAAGAGCGAAAAAGCCTACCAGAAAATAAAGTATTCCATCAAAATTTGGTATACATGACCGGTGATGGATCAATGCAAAGATGAAATACCAAAAAAAGAAAATAATGGGATTTTTTCCGATAATAAATATTGGCAGCTAAGATGAGAGCTTTTAAGTTTGTAAAATCCACAATTGAATAAGAAATATTTTGAATAATTATTATTATTTTTTGTAGTCTCTAATCTCAATGTGTTTATTTTGTAAAATGGCATGTTATTGTTTTTTTTTTTTTTTTTTTTTTTTGTTTTTGATTATCAAAATATTTGTATTTCAACAAATTACAATTTGAGTAATTAAATGTAATAACATGAGTTCAGCAAATTTGATTCAAGTGTGATGTGGTTTCATAAACAATTCATTTGAAACTTAACCCTCAAATCACTCAAAAGTAAGTTGTGAAGCCAACGAACAGAAAAAAGGGGGAAAAAGACCTCAAAGAGAGGTCTCTCGATTTTTTCTCTGGCGATTTTTTTTCTGGTTATTTTTTAGAGAAATAATAAACCTCTAAAAGAGAGGTCTGGTGATATTTTTTCAAGAGAAAAAAATTGACCTCCATATAGAAGGTCTATCGATTTTTCCTATAGATAAAAATAGACCTCACTAGAAGAAGTATATCGATTTTTCTAAAGAGAAGGTCTATCGATTTTTTTTCTGACGATTTTTTTTTTCTATAGAAAAATACACCTCTAGAACAGAGGTCTGGTGATTTTTTCCAAAAAAAAAATTACCTTCATAGAGGAGATCTATCAATTATTTTCTATAGAAAATAAGGTCAGGATGAATGGATAGATCTGAAAACCTGAACTTTTGGTGTCTTTGGTTGAAAAAAAGAGCTTCTTTTGGAAATGTGTACTATAATTTTTCGAAAAGTACTAAATGGTAGTTAATGTGGCATTGGCCTAAGGCATAGGACTGGAATATTCAAATTTAATATTGAGATCTCCGTTGGTATCTTGAATTACGATATTGAGGTGGTTTTGAAACTGTGTACCATTACTGTACGAAAAGTACTAAGCAGTACTAAATTTAGGATTGGGTGAAGGAATAGAGTTGAAATCCTGAAAATTGTCGTCGATGTTACTGACTTCCCTGGAAATATGTTTTTCTATAGAAGCACCCTTTAGAGGTCTCTAAAAAAATCGGAGACCTTAGAAACTGAGGTCTTGCGATTTTTTTCTATAGACAAAAATAGGCGACTTTTTTTTCTATAGAAAAAATAGACCTCAGAAACTGAGGTCTGGCGACGATTTTTTTCTATTGAAAAAAATAGACCTCAGAAACTGAGGTCTGGAAAAAAAGACCTCCAACAAAGGGAGGTCTATCGATTTT